ATTACATCAAGCTTCAATCAGTTGGGAGAAAAGGACTGATAAGGATTATAAAAGGTTAACACCCTGTTAAAACGCATTACGTATAGACTCATAAAAAAAAAAAGAGACATAAAAGCAAAATAAAAAAGCTGTACATACAAATTTTTGCAGTGCAAATAAACGAAAAATGAGCTTTGATTGTATTGTTAAAGTATTTGAAACATACAAAATCTCAATACATTTAAATAGAAAAAACGGATATTGCGATTACTTTCCATGAGTAACTTACGAACGAAAGACACAGTAGCTAAAACCAGCGAAAAACAATAACGTATGCAATTTAACCCATTGAAACGAGGTTCTGTTAATTACATTATCCAATTAGTTCGTGGAGTAAGTCTTGACGAATTAAACAGTCCAGTGTTGCTTCGCGATAAGGTTACAACTGATAAAACTAAACAGACTCTAAATGATAATGTGCAGCCTATTTCAATGACTAATGAACAACAGTGAAAATCGGTAACACGATGACTAAACGCAGCAACTTCACGGTAATCACGAGATTCGCGTAACTCGCGGCGACGAAAAGGAAACAGGTCCGCATCACGCGAGCCTATCTGGGTACTAGCTGACAGGAAAAAAACGTTCGTAAGAGAGAAAACAAATCAAATGAAAAAACGCACACTAGACGCACGAACTTATAACAAAATGAAGCTGTATCAAAGTTTCATACCTGCAAACTCACCCCAAACTTATCTACGTAACCAAACCCTTATAACCTTCGGCTAAATGGCATTATCGAAAAATCACGAGAAACCGTTAAAGCGGTGCATAGGGACTGCGAAAGAAAGAAACCGATAAAGACAGATAGTGTTCTGTGTACGCGCGCGCGAATTCTCTCTCTCTTATACACATACATATATATGCATATATATATATACGTGCTTACTCATAGTCTTTCTCTCTTACACATACTAATACTGTATCTTCTTTTCTTTCATTTGCTTATTCGCTTAATCTACACTTCGCTCGTCCACTTAGTGATACTCTGTCTTTCTCTCTCATACATTTATTCATTTGCTCTCTCTCTTTCTCTCTCTCTCTCTCTCTCGCGCGAACTCGTTCATTCATGTTCTTTCTTTCCCTTTCTCATTGTCTCTTTCTCTCGAAATAGCAAAAGGAGAATAAGAGAGGCAAATAAAGGGTGTAAGCAGTGCGCCAAGTAGTTACAGCTCTAACTATTTGTCACCGCCCGTGAAACATCAGCAAGATCTGAAATATTGGAAATCTTATCGACTGATTGAACAGCAAAAAAGGAATCTAAAGGAATCGCATGTCCTAGAATACACAAGATATTATCAACGTCCGTGCAATATGATACACGTTGAAAGACGAATAATGTAGACACAGCATTAAACACATTCTACATCTGTCGTAAATAACACTGTTCATGAACATAATTCTCTTACCTACAACGGATTATTAAAAAACAAAAAAAAAAACATTAAAAATGCGTTTCAGCGGTAGGAAGGAAAGGGACACCTGGCAAGATTGGAAACTCGAATTTTCAATGCTTAACCTGCTGTGTGAGGAAGTTCGCCGTCGAATAAGAATGCGGCACTAGCTCTTTAGACGGTCGATGGGTGCACAACACCACGCGACGATGATTAATGTCAATTCACTGCCGTGCGTCAGATACGATCACTTGTCTTCAGTAAATCGGCCCACTAACCGAGCATAGATCGTGTAATCTATATAGAATGTGTACATTTATGACAGCTCTGGTTGATACACACAAGCAGATACACGACTCTACGAAGCTTGTTGATTTTTTCACACTCCCCTTTTTTCGTTCGAAGAATATACTTTCGCCACTTTTCGCGAAACAATAACTATTCAGAATGGCACTTTTCCGATATGGCGGACGGTATCGATGTCTCTCTAACCTAATGCAATCAAATTTCGAATTGAAGTTAATCTCACTAAAATAAATTAAGATTGAGGTCCGAATCACGCACCCGGTATACACAGTGCTGCGACACTTTCATTTACGACGTCAAATTCGAATACCACAATCACGCAAAAGTTTACCACTGATCAATCAGTAGGTCAGTCAATTACCAGCTATCGTGCGTGAAATTATGAAGAAACGACGAACAGACTTCAATCTCGTAAGATCCCTCAAGAGTACTTTTCTTCAATGTCGTTTTCTTTTTCCTGGAATCGGAAATGGCGCATTTCAATGAACACGACCAGAGAATGGCGCCACTGCCGGCCAATAACATTATTTTGACTTTGTATAATGTATGTATATATACATATATATACTCTATATACCTTTTAATTTGATCACAATAAGCCTTAATATCTAAATTTTATAATCTTTTAACGCATTTTAGAATTTGTATTTTGAACTTTATCGTTATAATATTTAAAATGTTAAATTATGCCATTAAATTTTCTTCATAAAATTGAAGGAAGAAGCTTATTACTTAAGATTTAACAAAAAAAATTAAATATTTTATGAAGAACATCTAGTATGTTTTGTAATATAATATTTTTTGAACCAATCAAAGAAAATGATACACAATTCTTAAAGAAGATTCTAGTAATTTTTCAATATGTAACACGTTATCATATTTTTATATTTTACAATTATTCACTATAATATAAGCTTAATATAAATCATTACTAAGTTAAATATATATTTGTTTATGGTAATCAGTATTAACGAGTTTAAAATAATGATAAGGGCATACAAAACGATATAATTAAAAATGACACTAAGTACAACTAATTATTAAATATACATACAATAGGAATATTACAAAAATAATTTAGTAATTTTATATACAACTATTAGCTGTACTGATTCTCCTTGTTTTTATTGGATAATTTTAAATGTAAAATTTAGAAATGGCCGCCAAATATCGGTTTTTCGCGAAGTAGCATTTTTTATTTTCAACTTTGTGAATCTGTTTATACACAAAAAAATATCAGTTGTGTTTAATATCTCCGAAATGTACAATTAAGAATAATTTATATTGCACAAGTATGCATGATCATATTATACTATTTTACGGAAAGTTTCATTGAAATAGCAATATTTCTTGATCATAGTCTTTGCAATTTACAAATATAAATTTGTTGTATTTGTGAGTTTTAATATCAACAGGTTTTGTGACACATCGAATTTTTGTAATTCCTTAAAAGCTGTCAATTAAAGACAATGGATAAATATCAGCATATAAGAACATTCATATCGGCAGTTTTGGAATATATTAAACATCCGAGTGAAACAACAGCTTCAGTTTTACAACGAAATCTTGGGGTAAATAATTATATTATTCTAGTATTTTAAGTAACGCGAAAACATAAATAAATTTTATTTTTATAAAGTAACAGTTGTAATTAAAAATACTACTCTATATATGTAGAATGCTTTTTAATAACAAATTTTTTTGAAAGGTGATAAGCGTATCATTAGATTTGAGCATATTTGACCCTGGAACTAGCATAGCAGCAGAATTCTATGTTAGTCTGCATGAGCTTATGAATTCTTTAGCTTCTAGAACTACTTTGATTTGGAGTACTGTTGATGTCTTACAAAATGCTTGTCGTAATGCTGCTGCTAGACAAGCTCTTATTCATACATATAAATTTGCTCCCATATTGGCAAGATTATTGGAGGTATATATTTGAGTTTATATTTCTTAATGGTATAGAGGTATATATTTATTTACACATTATAGAGGTATATATTTGAGTTTACATTTCCTTTATAAAGATTTTAAATCCAATATCTGAAAATCTTAAATTGTATTTTTAGTATGACAAATAAGCTTCTGAAAATACTAAACAAATTAAATTTGTTGAGGAATACAAAGATATTTTAAATGTGTATTTTAATACCTTTGTTAAGATTTGCATGTCATATGTTTGCATATAAATTTTATAGGCAAATTTAACAAGTGAAAAGAGAATACGAGTATTAAAACTACTTCAAGAATTGACATATGGCATAAAAATTTCTTGGCAAGAAGCTCATTTACCTTATTTAGTATCAACATTAACACAATGGGTAACACAGTCCAAAGAAGAAAACATTATTGCACTTTCTTTAGGTGTATTAGTAAATCTTTGTTATAAAAATCTTCCTGCAGTATACACACTAATGAGGACAATTGATACAAAAGCATTTATACGAACATTATTAAAACTGCAACATTGCAGTGTTAATACCAGTGTACAGTGCTGTAAACTTCTAATTATATTAGAACATACCAATACAAATATTTCAGAAAAATATATTTTGGACTTTGCTGCTGTCACATTTAGCAGTCTTATTACTGCCATGAAACAAAGAGATGTTTTGTTGCTAAGACACATTATAGATTTCTTTGATGATGTTGGGCAAAAGGAACATTCTCATTCTGTATTACTTTCATACTCATAGTGAGTTATTTCATACCTTATCATTTTATCACTATAGCATCCAATATAAAATATTTTATTTCTTATTGTGTTAATTAGCTACCATAGAGATGTACAAAATGTATTACAAACATTGGAAGATAATGCAGATCCAGAATGTGTTGCTCTTATGATGGAATTTTTGTCATCATTAATAAAGCTGAAATTGTCAGCTTTAGTACCTTTATATGCTTTATGTGTAAAAACTGCCATGACCTGGGTACCTGTAGAACAGGTATATATACGTACGTATATATCCCAATTTTATGTAAAAGTGATTTAACAAACCAATAATTCTCTTTAAACTAGGTATGTTCCAAAGCATTAGCTTTGATAAGAGTTACAGTAATTGATGCAAGACGTACTAAAATATCGTCCGAAGTGCTGGCAGAATTAGATGCTTCAGTGTTAATGCTCATAATAAATTCAGAAAATGATGAAGTTCAAGAAAAGTGTGAATTAACTTTAGAAACAGAAACGAAATTAGCAGAATTGATGCAGTTATTTCAAGAAATGGTTAAAACTTCTACACTTAGAACAAAAATAATGCAATCCTTGAATGAACAAACGATATGTAAATTATTAAGTCCAATGTTGGATTCTGAAACATGTGCATCTAGTGATTGGCCAGGGAATTTTATTCAAGTATTTAATTTCTGATTTTTAAAATGTAATAATTATAATCTTTTAATGGACATAATTTCACTTTTAATTTTTTTAGAATCCTACTACAAATCTATGTATTCATGCATTGGCTTTGATTGCTGACTTAGCAGCTCATAATTCTCATTGGTTAACATTATATTCTGAGTTACTTCGAAAGAAACCAATTCAAATGACAATGGCACATGCATTATTGACTGGGGATGCAGATGTTAAACAAAAAGTTCTGCAGTTAACATCCACTGTGGGATTTCCCCAAGAATGGTAAAATTCATATTAATACATTTTAATTATTTTATAAAGTACAAAGATTTTAATAAATATTTTCACTTTAATACAAAATTATTGTATCTTCACTACTAAAATTAAATACTTCAGAAACAAATTATTTTAATTTTTATTAATGACAACTCTAGACAAATTCACTATCACACGCAAATTGTATCCCATGTTTTTGTGTGACAAGTGTTTCCGCGGTGGCGTTTTGTATGAAGCAATGGGAACCTCTGATATTGGTACAAAGTACTTCTGGTGTGGTAACAACTATTGGAAGTAAAATATCCTTGAATTCAAACAACGAAATGGCTCCACTTTTCTCTTTCGCGCAAGAAGAACGACTTGATGCATTTCTAGCAACATTAAAAAGAGCTTATGAGTCAAATCAAAGTGGTGACATTACAACATCAGCAGTGATGGAATTGTACGAATATAAAGTATGTGTTTCTTGTATAATGCATTTTATCATAAATAAGAAAATATGCATGTACAAAATCTTAATGTACTAAATTTTTTCAATATAAAAGTTAGCAGCCATGAGACATGCAGAGAGGGCTATGCAATCCAGTTTAGAAGCAGCAAATAATCATGGAACCAGTTTACAACATAGGTTGGCACAAGTAGTGGCTGAATCAAGTCGTTTACATCAACTGTTGTTTGACACACAACAATGCTTAGAAGGAGTAAAATCTACATTAACAGTAAAGCTTGCTGAAGCAGAAGAACAAAGTAAAAAAGCAGTTGCAATTAAGAAACAGGTTGATACTTTTTATAATGATTCTGTAAAATAAAAATTAAGATGAAAATTAAAATATAAAAATTACATTCGTAGGAAATTGAAGGTCTGAAGAAAATAGTAACAGAAAAGTCTACTGATATTAACCATTTAAATGGAATGCTTATACAACATAAGCACGAATTAGAAAGTAATAGTAATAGGATCGAAACGTTAACTAGAAAAATAAAAGAATTGGAAGTTGAATGTGTGAATGCAGACTTAAAAACCACAGAAATGGTTAATAAAAACCATGAGCTGAGTAAACTACTTCACAAAATGCAGGATCAGTTACATAAAAAAGATCAGGTATGTTTATACAGATTAAATTTTATGCTAGATTTGCTAATATATATTCCATGTTAAATAGGTAATAGAATTAAAAACTGCAGAAATTCAATCTCATCAAAAAGATATTTCTGCACTTAAACAAGAAACTCAACAGTTATCACAATTAGCGCACACATATGAAAAGAATATTGCAGAAAAAGAGGAAACACTTAAGAAAATGAGAGCAGATTTGATAGATTTAAGTCGTATGCGAGATATGATTTTCGATCTTACTGCTAAGAAAAAGGAAGACTTAAACACGAGCTAATGTTACACTTTTGTGATAAAACACAATTTAAAATTATCAAAACAATTTGATTATTATTTTAATGTAATTTTACATTTCTGCGAGTAACCCACAAAATATAAGATACTATTAATTTTCTTTTAGTATGAACAATTTTAACTCAAGTTACTCTTGCTTGCAATTTATGTTTTTCTGTTTTGACATAAAAATAGTACAAAGAACTAAATATACAAAAATCTGCATTTGTATAAAATAATTATTTCTCTTTTTTTATTGTAATGTATTTTGTATACGTACATTCTCGTATACATGTATATATTGTTCATTTCTCTCCTTCAATCAAGTACTTCTCATTTAAATATCTTACATGCCTCATTGATATGCTATTAAATGATTTCCATAATTAATTTATAATTCGAAAGGAGTTTTTTTAATTATAATACTAATACAATTAATTTCATTTATGTGCATCAAAATTTTTATTAATAGTAGTAAATTGAGTTCACTGAAAAATTATTTTAAAAAATTAGTAAAACATTTATTGTTACAAAATAAAATCGTTGGTAAGTAGCAGGTTTTGTATTTTAACACATTTATGTCTTAGAAATAATAGTAAAAAATAACAAATCTTTTTTGTTTTAAATAATGTTGTATCATGCAAATTCTATGCATTAATCATTTTTTTTCAATAATACATATAAATAAATAGTATATTTACT